AGTGCGGTGTTTGTGACTATTCACCATATTCTTTTAGAAAAGCAGGTGCTGAACTTGAACAGTAGTTTATTCTGCCCATCTAAGTTGCCTCCCAGTAAGCGGAAGTATTTGAAGATGATGTAACAGGAGCATGTTTCACATTTTGTCAAAAGGAAAAAACTAAGAATGTATTAAACGGATTGATTATAGTGTAGTTAGGGCAAGATTGTGACCCTTTTACTCACACCACAAATAGTCCCATTGGCTTCATTGGGGGTACTCATGTGACTAAACGGGTCATAAACTGGCTTTCATTAATCAGTGAATATTAGTGAATCAAATAATGGATAGAGTAATAGCAATCAAAACTGAGTGTGATTTTGATGTACCTAAATGTATGGTAATAGGTGTTATTTGTGGGACAGAATAGCATTCCAAAGACTCAAATGTTGCATGATATGTACATCAGGATTTGCCAATGCTGGACGGAGAATAATCTGAAGTGTCTAAAATCCAGACTCCATGCTGGATTCCTTTCTCGTTGTTAACACCATATGGTGAGGGGGTTTTTCTTTTCCCCTTAGAGGGCGATTTGGTCAGGTGCACAAATGTGAAGAAAAAGCAACAGGTCTCAAGTTAGCAGCAAAAATTATAAAAGCCAGAGGTGCTAAAGAAAAGGTAAGCATAGGCTGCATGGCCCCCATGCCATCAATACCACATGACCAGTCGGGTAATAGCTGGTTTGTAGATTCTTTTCCCTTCCCCTTCAGGACTGCAACCAGCTCATCAACCTCCTTTCAGTTTTTTCATCTTTTTATTTTTTATTTTTCACTTTTCCAACTTTTTCTCGCGTCTTTTCATTTCTTCCCTTTTTTCTCCTTTGTTAATTTTCTTTACATTTTCTTAGTGAAAATGTTTGTCAACTTTTGACTTTGCATGTGTTCTCTGGCGTGCACTGCACACTCTGCTGCAATTAATTGCTTTCATCTTGTTGGACTTGGTAGCAAGGATGTTCTGGGCTTCAGTCACCAATGCATAAGAGTGGAGAGGGATTTGTCTGGCCATTCTGCAAACCTCAGGGCACTTCCCCCACTTTCATTTAATGAGGAAAATCAAGCAGGCATTATTGTGTGGCAGCTGTGTCATTACTAGTGCCTGCCTTTCTCCATTTTCCTCATCAGTCCGACCTCGCTGCCACCAAGGCCAAGAGCTCTCTCTCCTCACTGCTTCTCAATGTCACATCACCATATATGGCCTGTGCTAAACGGGAGGTCAGACCAAATGATCTAATGGTCCCTTCTGACCTTAAACATGTATGAATATTCCTGTCGCCACAACAGCCATCAAAGAAGAATGCTAGGGTTGGTGGGCAGAGGTGAGCATGTGGGAATGATGTATTTGCCCATGCCCCCAATTCATTAGGTGACTGCTATAAAAGCCTCAAGTATAATATTCCTTACTCTTTTCACAGGAAGAAGTAAAGAATGAAATCAATGTCATGAACCAGTTGAACCACACAAACCTTATCCAGCTGTATGATGCCTTTGAATCCAAAAATGACATTGTTCTGGTCATGGAATAGTATGTATATCTCTCTCCTTCCCTTTTTTGCTCTTCCTTCTTTTCCTGAGGTTGCTGCATTCCATGTCCATTTCTCCTGAAACTAGAGGTGGAGCTTCTCAGGGGTGAAAAAAGCATATGAAAAAGTTTGAGTCACAGATAGTGTGACCAGATGTCCCGATTTTATAGGGACAGTCCCGATTTTTGGGTCTTTTTCTTATATAGGCTCCTATTACCCCCCCCCTCACCCCCTTTCCTGATTTTTCACATTTGCTGTCTGGTCACCCTAGTCACAGGAAACCATATTGAAAGAGTTTTCCTGAGTCATTCATAAACCTTGTTCAACACTGTCATGATGATTTAAGGCACCGTACTCGTTACACCATCACTCAAACGCCACAGAGAGAGAGCTTTAGATGAGAGAGCCACAGGATGTAGCTCTCTGTAATTTCCATTAGGTGGTATTGTCTGTCATCCATGAAAACGGGCCTGGTAAATTTCCATTTATGTGAGGGGAATGCACAGCCTTACCAGAGGACAAGAAATACATGCTGACTCTATGCCACTGAGGATTACCCTTACATTGAGCTGATCCTCCTGGGGCTGGTTAAATTATCTTGAGGGCCAGATTACATTGGTCGTGAAGCACAAAACAGCTGCACAGCACTGTAGAATCAGGTAGAGGTTGTCTAGACTCTAGAGGAAGCCAAAACTGGTGTATCATGCACATGGAGGGGGGTGGTAAAAGGTGCAAGTTCTATTGGCTTGGACTCTTCTGAACTTTCTTAGACTTAGGGCTTGTCTACACTACAGACATAGGCAGCTCATGCACCCCCCCATTCAGGGAGGATAGCCCCCTGCCCTGCCTTTTCTGCTCAAGGCCCCGCTCTGCTCCGCCCCTTCTGACCCCCTCCCGACCCCCCGCTCATGCTGGCTGACCTACTGGTGCAGCCCTGAATCCCGGCCAGCGCCTGGAGCATCCCTGAACCCCGGCTGGCCTGCCGGTTCCCAGAGCAGTCTGGAGGCCTCCGGGACTGGAGCTGCAGTAGGGAGCATTAGCGGAGGTTTGGGGAGGCTTAGCGTCCCCTGGCCTCCATTATCCGCCACCCATGACTACACAGCCTTTACTGGTATAGCTATGCCAGCAGAGCCCTCTTGTCCAGACACAGCATAAACTGGCAAAAAGACTTTTCCTATCTGCATAGCTACACCAGCTCCCACAACAACAGTATCTAGGCTGACAAAAAGCACTCTTTTGTCAGCATAGTTGCATCCATACTGGGGGATTTGCTGATGTCAGCTGGGGGTGGGGAGAGGTTGATTTTTTTTCACACTGCTAACCATCATATATATGGCGGCAAAACGTTGTAGTGTACACTAAGCCTTTGATTTGCTTCTGAATTTGGCCTGCATACTTCAGAAATGGCAAAAGCTATAATTCTGCAAAAAAATATATAGTGTTAAACTGAGGGTGTTCTAGAATTCTGGAAGAAATTTTAAAAATCTCCATTGTGATTTGAGATGGGCTCATACTGGAATCTTGAATCTCAAATCCATCGAAGTCTGGGGTGTTTTGGATCTAGATCCAGGAGCCTGATTCTCAACTGCATTGCCTCAGCTTTATGCTGATATGACTTTGCTGATTTCACTGGCACAAAAACCATGTTAACACAGCAGAGAATTGAGCTCAGGTCCAAACTTTTAGATGTGGATTCATCTCAGATAGTTGGATCCAAGCTGGTAGACTGGTCCAGGCACCCTCAAACATGGGGACGTTCAAGTTGGGATGGATCTGAACCAGTTTGTAGGAGCCAACCCCGCTGGGAACTGTAGGGAAATTCAGATCAGCATACAAACTTCATATTTTGGGTCCGTCTCTCTGTGCTCAGCTGTGAAAGCGTCTCAGGAAAATGTTATTTTGGACCAGTCTCCAGTATATCTTCTGCATTAATTTCAAGGCATGACTTTGAACTCAGTGACTATTCTACCATTTTTCTCTCTGCAGTGTGGATGGAGGAGAATTATTTGACCGAATTATTGATGATAACTACAGTTTGACAGAGATGGATACCATCTTGTTCACAAAACAGATCTGTCAAGGGATTCAATACATGCATCAGATGTACATTCTTCATTTAGACCTGAAGGTACAGAACAAGAGGCATGCTTTATGCAATAGCAACTTGGCCTCTACCATAGAAATTAATTTCCCTAAGCGAAGGCACCTAAGGTTCTGTAGATTCCCATGGTATATCACGATCTCTGTTAAATCAGTGTAAATTTACGTTAACCACATTGACTTCCATTAAATCACTCTGGATTTTTACCTCTGTAAATGAGATCAGAATCTTGAGAAGATCTCATCAAGCCCCGTGGTTTGAGCTTTCTGAGGATGATTTTCCAGCAAGTCAACTATTGACTACCATATATTGCACTTCTGTGTCATCTTTCATCCATACATCTCAAGGCACCATGCAACCATTCATTCATTCAACCTGACAGTGTCTCTGTGACAAAGGTAAACGTGATTATCCCCATTTTACCAGTGAGGAAAATGAAACACAAAGGGACTAAGTGGCTTGCCCAAAGTCATAAGATATGTCAGAGGCAATGAAAACCCAGTGTCCTATTCTAATGTCTAGACTGCACTGCCACTCATGAGCATGAACAGCATCAAGGTTAGTGAAAAAATTTTTTTAAATATGAGGTAAAATTAAATGAAATTAAAAGCATTGGTGGAATATTGCCTTTGACCAATTTAAAACAAGATCTACTAGTGTGTGTATTTAAAAAAAAAAAAGCAGATGCTGCAAATTTTGGTCTAGCAGTATATATGCAGAGACCAGTTAATTTTTAATGGGTTAATTGGCAAGTACAAAACATCAGTATTTGTATAGGTGTGCCTAGTGAGGACACACATTTGCAGCAGATCTTTATCCCTCTCCATGGCCAAGTTTTTTGCTGAATAATAAACTTGTCAGTTATCTCTGTTGAGAGCAGGAATAAGAGAGAGACGCTTAAATGCCCTTAGTTTTATGACTAGCTATAAAACTTCCTAATGATCTGCCAGGTTTACAACAAAGGAGAAGGAAACAACATGTTTGGAAGTTTGTTTTTCTTGGTTTGTAATTTGCTTAAATAACTGGAAATTAATATACTGTATCTTCAATGTTTTTAAAGCACAATATTGCATATTTGGATCTCTCAGACACTCATGTAAGTCAGTTGCAATTCCAGAGCAAGTCCCTTTTTCTTTGTAAATATTCATAGCCTGGAAACCTATAATCAAGAAATCTGCTCTCTTAATTGAGATTCATTTCTTGGAGTTGGCACAGTTTTGGTGTGAACTCAAAATGCAGAAAAGGAGGCATGCTTACATCCAGGGAGTTCTCAACAGAAACTCTTCCAGGCACATAATGACCATCAATGGTGATTCTATCCAGTTCTCCTTGCTCATAGATTACTTTGTGATATGAAGGTGTTAAAATGGAAGAATTAATGAGACTCATCAGGGCCAGTGTCTGGGACACAGAAATTCCATTATGAGAAATACGTTTAAAAAAATCTGAAATGCAAAGTGAATTAGTAATGTTGAAAATGGATAACTAATGTCTTAAGTGTTTAGGGCTGTTTTATTTCAAAGAGGACACCATCAGCAACAAGACCAGGGTAGCTATAAAACTGCTGGCAGTGAACATAAGACTGCATTGTAGACATTTGTACTTCAAAGACAATGGGCCAGATTCTGCTCTCATTTCATCTGGTATAAATCTGGAGTAATTCCGTTGATGCTAATGGATTTATGCCAGTAAAACAGAGAGCAGAATCTGGCCCTATGAAAATCCAGAAGGATTTTAACCTATGAATCCCACCTCTAAATATCTGAGAAGAGTGATTTGATTAGTATAATGTATCATCAGGCAATTGCTGCCAGAACAGCAGTGAACTCAGAAATCTGGGGCACAAAGATAAACTTCAAAGCACCGCAAAATCATTTTTAAAATGTTCTGATGTCAGCTCATTAAGGGCTGTAAAATCACAACGCCAACATCCTGAAGCCTGTTTGGAAGCTCCTTCCCCCTCCCACTAATGAGTCCTTTCTCTGAACTGCTGCATTATATCAAACTGAGATGCCATGGAGAAGAAAAAGCAGTACTGGCACAGAGTCCAAAACCTCAAATGCCACATGATTGCAGGAGGAAATACCCACAAAGTGAAACCTGCCCAAAGATGAAAGCAATGAGATGCTTATTTTATGCTTTGCAGTGTTTTTAGTTTTGATTCTACTACAATTCACTACAAGTCCAGTTTCTTTGTTATTTCTCTTAAAAGTGTGTTTTCTCTTTCCTCCTGGCAGCCCGAGAATATCCTGTGTGTGAATCGAGCTGCTTATCAAATAAAAATTATTGATTTTGGATTGGCAAGAAGGTATGTACGTGTCATCATGCTAATCATAACACATGAATTAGGAAACAATCTCAAAAGTGCTATGCCTTTGGAAGGATGAAGCTGATGCATAATAGCTTCCTACCACCTTTGGAACAAGTTTAAGGTGGCTCTTTTAGTGAGGAGCATCCTTAAATTAAAGAATGGATAGCAGTAAGGTTTATTCACACAAGAATGTAGAGTAAAAAATGTTAGTTTAAAACCTATTTTCAGCTGGTATATCTAAAGAGGGTTGGCCATAATAGACCAGACCAATGGTCCATCTAGTCCAGTGTACTGTCTCCAAAGTTGTCTCCAGTACAAGCTGGGGGGGGAGGGATAGCTCAGTGGTTTGAGCATTGGCCTGCTAAACCCAGGGTTGTGAGTTCAATCCTTGAGGGGGCTACTTAAGGATCTGGGGCAAAATCGGTACTTGGTCCTGTTAGTGAAGGCAGGGGGCTGGACTTTCAAGGTCTCTTCCAGCTCTATGAGATAGGTATATCTCCATTTAAAAAAAAAAAGTTGTTTCAAAGAAAGGTGCAAGAAACCTGCAGTACACAATTATGGAATAATTGGACTGAAGTCCTTATACTAAGACTAGATGTCTTTCTAAGAGACATGCTCAAGCTCTAGACAAGCTCATCCTCACCATGGTCTTGATGCTGGAATTACTGGCAGAAATTCTCTGGCTTGTCATGTGCAGAAGATCACATTATATTATCATACTGGCCCTTATGTCTACATCTACATTAGATACCTCTGGTGGTGTGTGTAGTGTAGGTGTAACTATACACCTCAGTAAAAAGCGCACTGTGTCCACACTGCGGTGTGTAGCTACATGTGTCAGTGAAAGGCTCTCACAAAGGAGAGGAACTGGTGAAAGGCTTCAGCAGCTCCCCGCTGCTGGAGCCATGCACTGCAGTGAGGAAAGGCTCTGGCAGGGGCTTTCCTGCAGCAGGGGAAGGCTCCAGCAGTAGGACATTACTCTGCCAAAAAATAGGAGGGAAACAGGGAGGCACGACTTGGCATGTCTGTACTCTACTCGCCTAACCCAGGCCTCTCTAGCTACACTGCTGTTTTTATCTGCGCTAGCTGTGAAGTATGAAGATTTATCTCGCTTACAAAAACTTATTTTCATCCTTACTGTTGTACCTCTGATTGTTCTTGTTTTCCATATAAAAACTCCAGTCCTTTTCTGAATCCTACAACATTCTAAGCATCAATGTTAGAAGTTGTATTAGACGTGAAATGGGTATTGACTGTCCCTGTTTCCGTCATCCAGATATAAACCCAGAGAAAAACTTAAAGTGAACTTTGGGACTCCGGAATTCCTCGCTCCTGAAGTTGTGAACTATGACTTTGTCTCCTTTCCCACGGACATGTGGAGTGTAGGAGTCATTGCCTACATGCTGTAAGTAGGACTTGTATCTGTACTGTGCACACTGTAATTTATATTGACTTTCTGAAGCTTGCTATTAAACTGGAATATTGATAAAAGCTGTATCTGTTGCAAATTCATTTGCCCTTCTGAAGTCTTTATTCAGGGAAAATTCCTGTTGATTTCAATTCTCTCCTGTCACATTGCACATCTCAAGTGAATATTTTTTACTCATTCTGTGCATGCACTTTCCATTGACATCAGTAGGAATTCCGCATGCTAAATGAGTGCAGAATATGCATAGGGATCCACAATTTAGAGACGAGAACTGCTGTGCAGATCATAGAGTAACATTTTGCCCTTCAAACGTGCATGATAATTTTACTTGTTTTATTCAACCCCAACAAAGTTATAACAAGTGAAGGCCTAATCCTGCGAAGTGTCGAGTGCCCTACATTTTCATTGACTTCTGAGTGAGCTCAGCACTCAGTAACGCTCAAGACCAGGTCTTAATGGACAACATCTTGCTGCGAGGGGTTAGGAGCACAACCATGAACAATGAAACAATTCCAGAAAGAATATGACAAATCAAGAGTAGGAAGGAGGAACCACAGAAGAATTAACATAAGTAGATACTGGTAGTGAAGATGTCGGTTATGCTATAGTGATAGTTAAGCACTGGAAAAGGTTAGACAAAGAGATTATGGAATCCCCATCATTGGTGGTTTTTAAGAACAGGTTACACAAACATCTGTTAAGGCTGGTCTTGGTTTACTTAATCCCACCACAGTGTGTGTGTGGGGGGGGGGGAGGGATGGACTAAATTACCTCTTGAGCTCCCTTCCAACCATATATTACTATGATTCTGTGTTTTTCATATGCTATATAATATTCTTTAGGCTCAGCGGATTGTCTCCTTTTCTGGGTGACGATGACAATGAGACTCTCAACAATATCCTGGCTTGTAGCTGGGATTTCGAAAATGAGGAATTTCAAGATGTTTCTGAAGAAGCCAAAGACTTCCTCTCAAAGCTTCTAATCAAGGAAAAAAGGTATTCAGATTCCCACCATTCCATACCTTTGACATGTACATTTGGTGTCATCACATTACAGAACACCAAAAATGCTCTGTCACTTGTACTGCTACACTTGATGATAACAGTAGCCATTGTGATTTTGTTAGGCCTATGTAGAATATTGTTAAATTCCACACAGTGTCCTGAGATTACATGAATGCATTTTCACAGGAGTTAACACTTTAACATTAGCTAGGGCATAACTGTTGAATCCTAAGATCCCGTATGTATCACTTACTAGTGTTCTGTTTTCCCTTTAGCTGGAGAATGAGTGCAACTTCAGCCTTAAAACATCCTTGGTTATCAGACCATAAACTCCATTGCGGACTACACAAGCAGGTCTCCAAGTTTAAATATTCTTGTACTTTGCAGATCTGCCAGTGCTTTTTTGTTCTTGTTACCTCAATATTTGTTCTGAGATTCTCTTCTTCTGTACTTGAGTCTGTCTTGCTGCTGAATTATGTGTCATTGTGATATGTATACATTTGTTTGCTTTTGTTTATTTTTTAAGGCTGGCATGTTTCTCTGTATGTTCCCTGGCTCTTGCATGTCTGTGTGAAGAAGTACTCATGATGTTGGTTATTGTACATTGTTGAATGGATCGATTTGTTAGCAAAATAACAGACAGTTTACAACAAAGCATTAAACACTGGTTGTGCAAAGTTTGCAAACTTTCTTTCAGTTTCCAAACAAAGATGGGCAGGTGTGGCTTTTAAAATCCCTTCTGGTTCGCTTGAGGTCCTGCTTGAAATCTTTTAAAAAATCAATCCCGCCCGTTCCCTCCTGACACCTTCCCGCCTCCTAACAGAACCTGGAATTCCTGCCAGGACACATCATTTACTTTAAACAGCCTTCTGGGGACCATCATACCCTCTCCAACTTCAGTGTGTTTGGGGCTGGCCAGCTCAGTGCTAATCTCAATAGGAGCATCCCTTACTTTGCTCTAAACATTCCATTTGGCTGAAACAGGGTCATGTGATTTAAAGTAGTTTTTGATTATTACTCACTTAACTAGTCAGTAGGTTTTGGAGGTGAAAAGCTGTTGACTGTCTCATCACTGGGTGAAGCTGAGCCATGTGGTTTCATAACCCAAGTGCGTGCCTGGGGCGGCAAGCCGCAGGGGGTGCCCTGCCGGTCCCTGCGAGGGCGGCAGTCAGGCTGCCTTCGGCGGCTTGCCTGCAGGAGGTCCGCCAGTCCCGCGGATTCGGCGGCAATTTGGCGGTGGGTACGCCAAAGCCGCGGGACCGGCGGACCTCCTGCAGGCATGCCGCCGAATCTGCGTTACCAGCGGACCTCCTGCAGGCATACCGCCGAATCTGCGTTACCAGCGGACCTCCTGCAGGCATGCCACCGAAGGCAGCCTGCCTGCCGTGCTTGGGGTGGCAAAAAAGCTACAGCCGCTCCTACCCAAAACAGAAAAGCCTCAGAAGAGGATACCTGAGGCTGCCATACATTTAGGATTCAAAAGTTTGAGCCTTTAAAATGGATTCCTACATTTATGCAGCAGTTGGAGCACAATACATCTTTGTTCTGCTTTTCTTTAGGCTTGTTATCTGTATGTAAGTAACAAAAGTCATTAAAAGGGCGAAGAAAACAAAGCGGAAAAATGAAAGTAAATGTAATGTACTGAGTCTAGCGAATAGGTGTCAGTGGTGCCTTCTATTGAACAGAATCAGACCTGTTCAAAATCAGAACTGTCATTAGTAGGTCAGGGTCTCTTCCTTGAGCTCAACTGGTAGAGCCCTGTGCTCTTAAAGCAGGAGGATCTGAGTTCTTTTCCTGCCGCTGAAGTTTCCATTGTGACAACTAGAGCTGGTCAGAAAAAGGAAGAAATTCACAAACATTTTCTTTGTCATTTTTTCATTTGCATGGACATTTTCTGAGCTGCTCTAGAGACAAGTGTTCAGTCTCAGGGGTTCATGAGCTTTTTTCCAATACTTAGAAACATCCACAGATGCACTGGGAGGTGCCAAACACATTCTGATGGAAAACAAAATTTTAAAGTAAATACGAAGGGATAGAGGGAGAGTCAAAATTAAGAACGTTACACTTTTAGGTACACCTCTAGAGGGACATCAGGGTCAGTCGTGCCCCTATTGATATGGCTGCAGTGAAGCCATGGATATGGGGAGGAGGCTGTCATAGTGTAGAGCTGCATGAAACCTGGACCTCTTTATGAATGGCTGGATCCTATTGCCCCTTCTATGTTGGGGAAACCCCTTTCCTCAGTGGAGAACTTCATAGAGATTTCCTCCACTCTGACCTCCCTCCTGTAGTTTCTCTGTGCATACTCATACTTGTTTAAAAAGTAGCTGTATTAAATAGGCAGGTGTTGCAGTGTTTTGCTATTATATGCAGCACAGGTAAGAAGTGATGGAGCTCAACTAACTCTTCCAATAATGTCTCCTTTTTTCTAGAGGAAGGCTAAGTGCCACTCAGAGTCTCAAGCACCCATGGCTCAATGACCTTTCCAAGAAAGCTGCCAAATGGAAGGTTTGTCTCAAGTCCCCTTGTTTCTCTTCAGAAATAAATGGTCCAACATCTATGGAAGATATCAGTGGAATACCAGAAACAGCCACAGTTAATATTGCTGGAAGATTTACTCACCAGCACCATCTGCACAACTGTTCGACAAGCAGTGTGTCACTGAAGCACCAAAACTATAGGCTTGCTCCATTGATTATGACCATTGCAACAGTGTGAAAGGGCGGAACAGTGAGAAAAAAATCATAGTTTATATATGAAACTGCACATACAGCAAATTCAGTGAGTGAAATCCTGGCTCCCTTGAAATCAATGGTAAAACTCCCACTGACTGTCCTAGAGCCAGGTTTTCACCCAATGAATGTTCGGTGCTGGAAGCTTTTGGTTTCTTATATCATGGTTGTAAGTCTGGTTTAAAAAGGGATAGAAATATGCTTGTATAGTAATTTCTTAACAAAAGGCTATGGGCCATCTCCCCAGCTGGTGTAATCGGTGTAGCGCCATTGACTTCCATAGGACCAAGCTGATTTACTTGAGCTGAGGATCCAGCCTTAAATGAAGTTGTCCTGTGCTGTTGAGGAATCTGTATCAAACAACGCAGTTGAGACAAGACATTTCTGTCTCTTTCCTTTTTCCTGGATCACTGTCTTTGCACTTCCATTGACAAACACTTCATTACTGGTTCTTAGACTGGCGAGGTCGCCTCCCCTAAGGGGGCCAGGGCGACACAAGTCTGCTCTAATTTTCTGTCTCTGGTCTTTGGCTGAAGCATATTCACTCAGCCACTTCGAAATTTACTCAACCACTTTCTCAAATGGCAGAACACCTCCCTCCCCCCGCATACACCACTGCACCAATTCCCACAGCATCTCTTATGAACTACCACAGGACTGGTGCTTCCTTTGAAGCACTGTGGGAACCAGTGCAAATGATTTGGGGACATATCTGAGGATGACTGGTTGTGGGTCATGGTACGAAGAAAGCTGATAAGCCATGCATCATAATAACCACTTCCTTTTAGCATTTCACCATGAATAATGACTGAGATACCAAAATAAAAATGGTACCACTTTTCATTCTGTGCGCTAATTGTTAAGGTTATTACCATCCGTTAAGAGACAGTCTGTAATTGATGTTTGCTTTTGTTTCCAATGTGTTTTGTAAAAAAAAAAGATCGCTGTTCAGAGGGGCTGAAAAAATCTTAGTCTATTATGATTCACTGTCACTTGCTTTTGATATCTCCTTTCCTGAGCTGCCAAAGCCACATGGTTTCTTAGTATGCTAAGGCAGTCACACCAAATATTGGGGAGGGACACGTTGGACCCTCTTTGTACTGATCCTCACGTCACGGGAGCAATGCCAATTTACATCAGCTGAGGTTCTGTCCCATCTGGGCAACAGCCACACATTGAAAAATATTTTTATTTTTTATTACAAGAAAGCAATTATCTGTCTGAAGAAAAAATCAAGTTTGAGATAACCTTGATTATTGATGGCCAGTCCAGTGAAAAACAAAAGAAAATGTTCAAATACACTTTTTAAAGCTTCGTAAATAGTAGCTAACTTATAGTCTATTTTACAGGGGGAGATAGTTTAAAAAAATGAGTTTTCAATTTACTCCAGAAGTGGACTCAGTCATTACTGTGTTTTGTTTTTAGAACACAACCATTGGGGTTGCCTCATTTAATCCATGATGATATATTCATGTGACAATTGATTTAAACATGGTGTGGTAAATGTCTGATGTGATTGTACAAGCAAATGGAGATAATCACATACTCCCATCCCATCTGACAGTAGTGACAAAATGACAGCATTGTTGCATTTCATGAGAGACTTCCTGAATTTTTTTTCATTAAACAAGGAGACCTAGTACTTTTTATGTTGTAAATAGCATTAAATGATCTTTCACAATCTGAGATGCGGGGGGGAGAGGGACTCTTTGTAAGCAGTCAGATTCTGCATTGCTTTCTCTCTCACACACAAAGAAACCACCCTGTGATTTTCCTAGGGAATTGAACCAAATAATTATATTAAAAGTATATTGCTGAATTAACTAGATTCTTGGTTTGTTTATTTGCAGAAAAGCTGCTGTGTTGTTACTGCTGGTAAGAGATTTGGAGATATCAGCAGTTCTGGTGCTTTGACCTTGTGATGACTTGAGGCTTTTACTAAGTGGACCAACACCACTTTAGCTGCAGGAAAAGTCCCAGCATTACTGAGCTACTTTTTCTTGCTTCAGCTTTCAAAAGAGGAAAACAACTCCAGTTCACAGAAAGGTGTCTCTGCCAGAACACCATGTCATTTGTGTCTGAGATTGCTATGCTAGTTTGAGTTCAGAATATTATCTGTCTTGTCTTTGTTTTCTTGATTTAGCTAGTGAGAGATCTTTGGGGTTTAAATAGCATTGGCTCTTTCTCATCTCAGCCCAGCAAGCAGACGATCTCTGCATTACAACGGTAATTGGAGTTCTATTTGAGATTGAAACCTCAAATTGCTTTTAAAAAACAGCTGGCTGCACATTTAAAACTGATTATTCTCTGACAGTGGAGCCAACAAGGACTAACCCCACTAAAGTTAAAGAAGCTACACCAGTGTATTAACATTCTCATAGACAAGCTCTCAGTGTACGTAGGATGCCTTTAGACTAGAATATGCTGCATACAGGACTGCCTTTGGTGTTTCCTAGCATATCACATTGGTACTGTTTTAAATTCAGTTGGGTTAATAACATACAAGAGGATATTTTGTTATTAGGACACCCAGATTCTCATCTCTAGTGTAAATGCAGAATTAAGCCCTGACTTGAGTAGAGAACAACTTCAAATCAGTTACTTTGGATTTATGCCAATAAATGGCTAACTCCATTGACAACAATGGAATTACACTGATGTAAAACTAGTTTGTGAGAGGAGAATCGACCCCCTAATCCTCACAACCCAGAGTGTCCTGTTTGCTTCTAGGAAATGGCTTATTTAAAAGCTCTCAAAAAAAAATCAAAATATTTTCTATTGCTTCTCCGGATTCCAAGCTGTTTTGATACATGGCTAGAAGAGGGGACTGGGAGTCAGGCTACCTGTACTCTATTCCCAACACTGTGTGACCATGGCTAGTCACCTAAACAGCCTGACGCTCAGTTGTCCCATCTGTAAAATGGAGATAATGACTTATTTTTGCATAGTGCTGTTTGTATTAAAGACTAGATAAATCCAAAGTATCATTATTATTTTACTTTACTATGATGACATATTGTTGTGGCTTTGGCTTTTTTTTTTTTTGACTAATCAGTTTCTAATTAAGCAACATGTCAACACAGCCCAGTATATTTTTCTTGAAATAATGGCATGTCATGTCTTGTTACAAGGCAGAAGGGGAAAGGCCAACTCAATTTAACATTAGAATGGCACTAATTCCCACATAATGACTGTCATATCTTTGCCCTTATGAAGTGATGTTTGTATATAAAATTTCAAGGAAAGAGCCAGATGAATACATTTATTGGACAGCATGCATGTGACATCCTTGACAGCCAATTACAGAAATCCAATTTTGTCCAGAGTTCAAAAGGTGTTTTAGATAGATAGATATACACACACACATCTATCTATCTATCTATCTATCTATCTATCTATCTATCTATCTATCTATAGGCTCTTAATGAAAGCTAGTGTGCTGTACTGCATGTTGCAAATACTTGCATATGTATAGCAACATTACTACCACAGTACAATAAAGGAAGAACCAAGAAAGCACAGAAAGCACTGCCCCATTTTGACTTCTCCTACCTCCTGTTTAAAATCTTAGGGCCAAATCTTTAGGCCCAATTAAAGGATTAGAAAGCATACCTTATACTTACAGTGATAGTGTCTAGACCTCAATCTGGTTAGCCTTAAAAGAAGGTTAGTGGGTCACTTGATTACAGTCTGTAAGTATCTATATAGGGAACAAATATTTAACAATGGGCTCTTCAGACTGGCAGAGAAAGGTATAACACAACCCAGTGGCTGGAAGTTGAAGCTAGACAGATTCAGATGGGAAATAAGGCATAATTTTTTAACAATGAGAGAAATTAACCATTGGAACAATTTCCCAAGGGACATGTAATCCATCGCTGACCATTTTTAAATCACAATTGGATGCTTTTCTAAATGATCTACTCTAGGAATTATTTTGGAGCTATTCTGTGGTCTATGCTATATAGGAGGTCAGACTAGATGATCAGAACGGCTCCTTCTGGACTTGGAATCTGTGAATCAATCATCATACCTAGTCCTAACTCAAATAAACTCCCACTGGCATCAATGGGAGTTTGTCTGTGAAAGTAATGAATAAAATCTAAGCAAGGGAAATCAGGATTTGACCTGTCAGCTGCTTATTATCAATCACTGTTGTCCTTTGTCTGTGTGAAATAAGTGTGAAAGCTACTAGAACACCTTTTGATAAAGCTAGAATTCATATGATGTGTTGCTGTTCTGACTACACGCAAGATCCTCGATACTGCTCACTGTTTGTATGATAAACAACTCAGTGATCAGACTGAAAGCAGCAGGCTAAAACTGGAATGATGAAATTTCACTTACACAGTTCAGGGCCAGTATTTTGTTGTTTTTTCCTTAGTGGTTTTTATGTAACTTGCATGTAATTTTGAATCTTGATAATTATACTAAAATAACTGTGTGACTATAGTCTTACAACCACTACCTGCTTTAATAGGAAATTCAGCTGATGGCATTTGGTGTTTCTGGGAAATAAAGAAGATGCATACACTTCAGTAATAATTAAGAGCTAGATAGTTCCTTAAAGAAATAGACCTGTATTAGCAGGGTGTAGAGGGATTGCACTTAGTCGGAGTCAGCCACGATTCTTCCAGTGATGATAGGGGACTGTGGTCTCTGCTATGCTCTTTTACAGGGAACAGAGTTCACTACCACTACCTCCTCTTTTGGGCACGCACACAAACACACATGAAAGCTGTGGGACCCCAACATTCTCCACCCTCTTTGGGAGGCTAGTACCACTGTCAACATCAGTCTGAAACATTTTTGGAGCTCCATGGTTGGCTTGGCTCTAAACCAGGGGTTCTTAAACTTCAGTGCACCGCATCCCTGTTCTGACAACAAAATTATTACATGATCCTGAGTGGGGGGAGAAGGGACCGGAGCCCAAGCCCCACTGTCCTGGGTGGGGGGAGAGCAGGTGGAGCCCAAAGATCCCAGCCCTGGGTCCCAGCCAGTCTGATGCTGGCCCTGGCGACCCCATTAAAATGGAGTCCCAACCCACAGTTTGAGAACTGCTGCTCTAAACCATTTAAGGGTGCAAGGTAGGGGAGAGGAGCACTTTTTGTTCTCTCCTTCATTTGTGCACGTGCGCAGGGCCAGATCCAGCATGGCCCCTAATATTGTAAATATACTCCAGGGACTTGACTTTCACTCAGATGCTAAAATACAAGGTAAAGGCCAGATTCTAAAGTCTTGGCTACGCTAGCGTTTATTTTTAAATTTCCTACTGTGGCACTGTCAGCAGTGCACCTCCCGCAGTTGTGGCAGTGGTGGAAGCTGTGATGTAGTCAGGCTGTTAACATCTGATGGGGTTTTAACCAAAGATCATCTAGATCTGCTATCAGTGCAAATAGATTACATGTATTTTATCTCACCTGCTGTTGATTTTACATTAGTACTCCTATTGCTGATGAAGCTGCACCAGCAACGGAACACCAACATGAAATATGAAGGAAAATGGTAGTGTAGCCTAAATCACTGATCTGCTATTATGTTCATGTGTGCAAATGGAGTAATGGATTTATTTATTTATACTTAGTGTATCTTGCAATGAGCACCATATATTGCAGATTAGGATCCAACCCAAAGCACGATTGCAGATTCACCTTCAAAGACCATAACTTCCATGGCTGCCCAGAGGATTCAGGGGGTCTGGGGCAAAGCAATTTCGGAGGCCCCTTCCATATACAAAAGTTGCAATACTATAGAATGCTATATTCTCGTGGGGGCCCCTATGGGGCCAGGGGCCTGGGGCAAATTGCCCCACTTGCCCGTCCCCCCCCCCCGGGTGGCCCTGATAACTTCTACTGTCATGAATTCAACAAGAAATTCAAGAGATCAAGTTATCCTTTATTCATAAAACTGTTAGGGGCCACTCTTCAGACAAATTAGGACACATTTGCCCTGCCCCTCGTTGTTTATAGTCTCATTTGCACACGCCAGTTTGTATTGATTTAATTATCAGCCCATAGTTATTGAACAAAAATGTATTTTGTAACAGCTGTGTTTTTTGCAGACTATTAAATTTACATCAACAAAGTTATGTAGAGCTGTGGGGGGGACCCAAACAGCTGTATTTTTTTAAAAAAAAACCTACTCTCAGGGTATGTCTACTCTACCCGCCGGATTAGCGGACAGCGATCAATCCAGCAGGGGTCGATTTATCGCGTCTAGTCTAGACGCGACTAGACGCGATAAATTGACCCCTGAGCGCTCTCCCGTTGACTCCTGTACTCTGCCACGAGAGGCACAGCCACAGTCGACGGGGGAACGGCAGCAGTCGACTCACCACAGTGAAGACACCGTGGTGAGTAGATCTAAGTACGTCGACTTCAGCTACGTTATTCACATAGCTGAAGTTGCATAACTTAGATCAATCCCACCCCGCCCCCCCCCCCCCCCCCCACTGTAGACCAGGCCTCAGATGTGAGTATTTAGCTCCCTTTAACGTCATGTGTGTGCAGCTAAAGGTACAATTTGGTCCTCAAAATCACAAGCATGGTATAGCGTGGGGAAAATAACAGCACTGTTGTCAATGTTGTAACATTGATAAAATAGATTTTATTTCTGCAGCTGAATATGAGGCAATGAGGAAAAATGCCCCCTGTACATAGCTTTCACTATGCTTAACAACAAATGGCTTAAATAACTATTAATAATCATTAGTGCTAATAAAAGTGTGTCTTATAAAATGTTGTTAGAGATATTCAGTTGTTTTCTGGCTGTTGAAATTTTAGTAAAATAATACTGACACAACTTCTTTAATAGAGTTTTCGAAAGG